AAATAAGATATGTATATACTGTATATATAAAATTAAACTCATAAAAACAGCAGGATCCGGTTTAATGAAAAATAGAATTAAAATAAATTAATATTAATAAAAAAGAAAATAAAAATACTAAAAATAAGTTATCTCATTTTAAAATTTCTGTGTTGATAAATGATTTGTGAATGTAAATGGATTTAATTTCAAAAATTTATATTTAAAATATATTTAAATTAAATTATGATTACATTTTATATTTTAATTATTTAATTATGTATTTTAAAAGCTATAAGTTTATAATATGAGTTTATGTTATTATTATAAGTTTATTTAAACTCGTAAATTTAACAACTTGCTGAAAATGGGATGAAGTGTATGACGGTTTATTACTAAAATTCGTTTAAAAGTACTGATTAGAAAATATGTATTACTATAAGAATTATAAAGCAATGAAGAAGCGAAATAGGATTATGTTGTGCAATAAATGCATTATTTTTTGGTGTGCGGATACCACAATAAGTAAACTTGGCAATAATAGACATTTTTAAATTCTCTGCCATTTGCTTAAACAACAACGTCAAATTGAAATGGTAATCATTACATAATTTGGATTAGACATGGTTTGTGAATCTTCCCTCTCTTCATTTAACTTTTCCTTCCCTTCATTTTTATTGTACATCTCAACTATTAAATCAAATTTTGAATAATCCTGTTTTAGCATTTAAAAAAGTATTACTTTTTTTATTAAAAAATATGAGGCATTTTTAATGAAATCTCACCCTAATAAAATGGTCATTTGTTTCAAACTAACATCATATTTTTATATTTACTCTTATTTAATAGAGTTTTTCACTCTAAAATAGATATAAAGTGATTTATTCATCAAGAGACACCTGAAAAAATATAATAATTATATCTTAAAATGTTAAAAATGTCGTATATTTTTTAATATTTAACACCTTAAAAACAATGGGAGTAAAATATAAACATTTTAATAAATAAATAATTCTAAGCTGTTAAAACTTAATCTGAATAATTTAAAATTTTAATGAAGAAATTTTAAAAAATATTGTAAATATTTAATCTAGGCCACTTAAAATTTAATCTTAAAATTAAAATGTGCTTTTGAGTGGGAAAAAAAGAATAAAAGTTAATTGGAGAGAAGTCAACTGCAAAATAAAACGTTCAAGTGTCACTGGAGAGGCACATGACATGATCCATCCAGGAAGGTTTGGGGAACAAAATCTAGCTTGTCGTTAAAAAAGAAAATAATAATAATAATAATAATAAAATCTAAGTTTCGCCATATTTATTTTAATTAAAAAATAAAAAAATGGCCTCGCTCGTGTGCGATCCTCTCAGGATCGTTCGGGCTAACGTGTGCGTCCCACGTGATCCGTCCAAATGTTCAAATAGGAGGGCTTTCATAATGCAACCTTTAAAATAATGAGGAAATAACTCTAAATGGATGCTATAATTTTAACTTAATTATAAAGGTTTTTAAATTTTAATTCGGTACAATTTAGACTTTATAATTTTAACTCATTTAAATTTAGTTTTTAAAATTTAATTCAGTGTGATTCAATTCTTATATTTTAGTAATTTAAAATATTAGTTCCTGAGTTTTAAAAAATAACTTAAATCTTTGTATTTTTATTTTCTAAAACACTAGGATCAATATTTTAAATGGTTTAAATTGAGACAAAATATAGGAACTAAATTTTGACTCATTCAAAACTACAGAAGCTACTAGCAGCTAAGTTAAAATTTAAAAATTAAATTTTAACTAAATCAATAACATAAAATGAAAACAAAATGAATAACAACAACAACAATGATAATATTGGTGGGGTCCTAAACTAGGGAAGGGCGTGAAAAGCGGCCTAATACGACTAGCAAAGAGATGTAGCCTAAAAAAATGAAAGTTGATTTTTAGATAGTAATGAAAACCATAATCTCTCAATTCATGAACCGTCATTGATCATGAGAAAAACATGATGTGTTTCAAGAGTATGGATGAGAAGAGACGTGACGGAATGATATTGAATTCCCACAAACATGTAACATGGTAGGCGCCGGCTATTTTCTATAAATAGAATTAGAAGATATGTTATCAAGAGCATGAAATTATTACTCAAATGCCAAATCAAATTATTTATTATTCTCATAATTCCCACAAACAAAATGCATGTTCAAGAGTATTACTCAAGCGCCGGCTACAATTCGTGCTGCCTCCAACAAGAAGAACAACAATATAGACAAGAAGAAGAAATCTAGACATTTTTTTTTAATGAAGTCAAACAAAAATCATAATACAAGTAGTTAAAAGCCCAATGGATATTTTTCTCATAGGGAAGAACCCATCAAGCTTACTGAATCCATGCTAATACAAATTCAAAAGTACCAAGCTCTATCATCCCCTAGGCTCTAACTGGGCTTTCATTGAGGTGATTTCCGACCTACACTGTATCAAGATGCTTATTTGGAGGGTGGGTATTTTAATAAACTGGAAAATGTTGGCTGTTTTTTTTTTTTAGAAAAAGTTAATTGATACCTCTATTTCATTGTTGACTTAAAGATATCAGAAATTTTTGAGAAAACAAAATTTATGATTATTTTTTCATCTTAACACAAAAAGTACACGTGCCCAAGCTCAACAAATCTGCTTCTTCTTCATGGCTAAGAACCGAGTCATTTCTTCTTCCTCCTTCGTGTTTGAGATCTTCTGGCTATTCTCAGCGTCTGCTTTGATATTATTTTTCTTTTTTATCCTTTGTTGGTGAACCGTGGAAAAATACTAAAATTTGACTGAAAAATTGTCGGAGAAGTTGTTCTTGGAAACATTAATGAAGCAGACACGTGAATAAAAAAATATGTTGTAAACCTTTGCAGCTTTCCACTCGTGATTATTTGACTGTAGCGACTAGGGACGGTATTTTAACTCTAAAAAGACGGAAATTTCTTGTAATTTTCATATGTTGTGTTTAGATTAATGATGATTTTAATTTAAGTCATATTCATATTTTTATTATAATTTTTTTATAATTTCAAATTCATTTTATATCCTAGTTATTTAAAATTTTAATCATTTAACTTTTTTTGTTCTCTTGGTATTTTTATTATTATTGTCCCTTTCACTCTCATCTCGTCTCATTTCTCATTTTTGTATTTTGGTAGTTGAATATTTGTTGATTGAATAATGGATGTAGCCTGTCATTTCTAATATTATGTTTTTACTTTGAATCTTAGTTCCTTTTTCCTTCTTTCTTTAGAATATCTTGCACTATTAAATACATTATTTTTAGACATGAGATTTTAAATTCAAAATTCAAATCTAAATTTATTAATCCAAGTACAATATAATAGAACTAAGAAAAAACATGGAAGAATATCAATAAAGGATGCTAGAAGAAATTTAATATCTTTAAAGAATTTCTAACAAGTAAGTATTACACAAATTAACAAGTGAAGTTAATTATTGTTTTAACAGCAAGTATTTTATTAGTCCATATCCTTGTTAGATATTAAATTTTTTCAAGGATTCATCATTATATTGATGAGCTCCCAAAGAAAACATTTTCGAAAAAAAATGTGTAATCCTACACTCCCTTAATTTGCATCTATGACCCAAAAAATAAGAACTAGCCAAAAATTACAAAGGCTAGGAAGAATGACAATAAAGTCCTATAATAAGAAATCTATGGCAGTTAGTTCTCAAACAAAATATTCTAAAACCTAAGTTGCAAATATTAATTTAAATAATTATAAATAAAAATTTCAATTGCAAATTAAAAGTTATACTTACAATTTAAATACCTCATTGGCAACTAGAACTTCTTAATTTATAACTATCTAAATAAATATTTACAACTAATTTTTTAGAAACTTTTGTGACCTAAATTTACTATTTTGGGATTTTAATGTCATTCCCTCCAAATGTTTCTTTTGTAAGCAAAACCAAACAAAACTGACCATACCAAACTAATTTAATAAAAACTAAATAAAACTAATCATTGGTGAAGCTTGCTTTGGTTTGGTTTTATAAATTTAAAAATTGAATGGTTTGGTTGAGTTTTTGATTTTTTTTTAAAAACCTTAACCAACTTTGAACCATACCTTTTATATTTTTAAATGTATTTATTATAATTAATATTAGACTATTATGGTTTTTTTAATTTTAAGTAACTTCAACTGAAGTCCAGTCTATGTTCAAAATACTTTAATAGAATCCCTCATCCTTTTCTTCCCCTCTCAATTTTGCTATTAGAGAGTCAATTTTATATTCATAATGATATTTTATAAAATTTTTCCTTTCTTGATTTTAAAAGAGTTACTTTTTTATTATAGATATGAAGACAATTTATAATGAAATTTAACTTGTTTTACTTACAAATGCATATACTTTGGTGTTTTTTATAATAGAATTTGGATATTTTTATTTTGGATATGATATTTATTTTCATTCATGAAAAATAAAATCGGGAATGTGACTCAGAGTTGAAATATGAAAGAAAAAAGAGAGTAAAAAAATTATGTTTAGCCTTGCCATATGATTTTAAGTGTAAAAAAAAAATATATTAAAAACTAGTTTCATGCATAAACGATTATGTGTCAATTTTGTTTTGTGCACGCTTGATCACCCATTATTTTTAGGACAGGCCACATGTTGTGGGTCGGTCCAACCCGTCCCGGCCTATAAACACGGCCCATTTAGTTCTAAGCATCGGAAACCCCTACAGAGTCTCAGAAGAGCTATTTTCTACGTGCTCTATGCTATTTTCTTCAAATTTGAGCTAGTTATTTTAAATAGAAGGACGGTAAATTTAATTTCTGTATTATTTTAATTTTAAATATATTTTAATTTAAAATAATTTTACCCAATCCCAAATTAAAATGAACTCGTTCATCAAACCCGAACGATGATTTCACAATTTTCCGGTCAATTCAAGCCTTACTGTATTTCAGGCCCAATCCCAGACGACATAACCCGCAAACCCGAGTCACTACCATAGAGAAAAAAGAACAACCAGTATCCGTTCGAGGCTGAGCGTTCAAGGCCTGCTCTGCTAGGCTGCTACTTCACGAAGCTCAAGTTTTTACGTCGTCTTCAAAGCGGTTGTCTGCTTCTTTGTTGCTGGGTACGCGGCCTCGCTTCTTAAGCTAACTCCACAGTTTTCTTTCAGCCTTTCAATCAGGTTAGTATCCAGTATCCATACTAGCATGTATAATATTCACATGTAGGCTCTTTTTATGGAGTCAATCTGCTGCTAACTAAGAATAAGCCAGGAAGGAAATTGAGGGAAACTATGTTGATGACGTTCGTGGAAAAAATGAATGAACTTGTGCTTTAACTGTGACTTGAATGATTGAATTCTAGTAAAATCCCGTTGCAAATATGTTGTCAGAATAGATTAGCACGCAGCATGAACGGTTTTAATAATTTTAGTTGTTGCCTGTATGTTTTGTGGACTTGTGAAAAGCTATAACAATTTTGGAATGAGCATTATTTAGCATTGGGTGTAATCTATGGTGTTGGCTGACTCGTGAGCGCCTCTATAATGAGGAGGTGGTTGAATTAATTGTTTTCTAATTAATAAACTCCGATAAAACCCTTCCTTGTGAGTAGCAGATCCAGTTCTCTTAGTAGACGAACAAGCATCCCATACTCAGTCGGACGCCGTCCACTGTTGTCAGCCCCGCGTGGTTGTTCTCGGGCAAGCGGTGAAGGAGGTTCGAACCCTAGGGCTTTTTCTACTCCAAAAATCCGGTGTGATTGACTTGTTCAATCTGGTGTTTTGAATCTAGATTTGAATTTTTCCCCTCGTCATCTGTTCCCGCTGTTCCTGCTCTGTTTTAAGCTTTTCATTTTAATTTTGGCTTTGAATCTGGTCGTGTAATCGTTGAATATTGACACCTTTGGATTTGGGAATAATTACATATTGAGTTTATTTTTTTGTACTAGTTTTTGCTTGAGTGACGTGTACTTGGCCATTATACTTCTTCCCTTGTCATTTTGGTTACTAGTTTTTGACTTGTATGACGTGTTTTGGCATTCTGTTTATTAGTCTTTTTATATTGTCATCAAATTTTGAAATTCTCAAGGTACTTGTGATGCATGATCTTGTAAATGACTTGGCTCAAGTTGTGTCAAAGTATCTGGAACAAAAATTAAAAGGACATTATATCAACTGCGCATATTTCAAAGATTTCAGTCCGGGCAGATGCCCCCACTGAGTGTAGTACAGGTCTGCCTGTTTGGTGATGTTGGATTTTTTCCGCTTAGGTGTAGGATGGGGTTATCTGCCAAGAGATCTAGAAAAGCACCAAACAGTGACCTTGATTCGGATGACTACAGTGATATGGAGAGTGAACGGGTAAGTATTGGTTGGAAAGTTTCATCATCTTCTATGTAATCTTTGTGATTTTTTTTTGGTGCTTGAGGATTATTTTCTGATGTAGGTGGAGTCTGATGCAGAGGATTATGATGATGATGAGATGGAGGATGAAGATGACAAGGAGGGAACCTATGATGAGGAAGATGGTATGGTAGAGGAAGATAAATGGAATAATGACGAGATGGAACAGCTTGAGAAAGAGTATAGGGAACTCCATCAACAGGAGCAGTAAGATTTCCCTTTTTATGGATGTAATATGATCTATCTTGCTAGACTTGAAGTTGCTAAATGATTTTCCTGTGTTGGAGACTTTTCTTTGCAGTTGTTATTTTGGTATGCTATAGTGTTCTCTACTATTGATGGTCTTGTGTGTATCTGTCTGAAGTTTAAATGTTTAATGTTACATTACACACCCCCTCACGAACGACACATACACAAAAATAACTAGACCTTGTGAAGTATTGCCTTTTCTATAATGATGTACACTTGTACTGTTTTTTTTTTTCCCTTCTGTTTTTGGGCAACTACACTTGTAGTGTATTACTCATTCTGTCTCTAGGTAGCATTAAATATAAGGTACATCTTAAAAGATTTTAATTATTCATAATACAAGTCATTTTACAAAACCTAGATAGCAATATATATATGTATATATTAATAATTTACCCCTCTTTATGATAATCTACAATTAAAATGGTGGAGAGAGGAATTAAGGGAGATATAATTAACATAGGTTTGTTATTTGATGAGGATAATTTTGAAGATTTTTGGTAATTTTTGAAAAGTTCAAGAACTCAAACTAATTTTAACACATTTCTTTTTTCTGTGTAAAGTAATTAAAAATGACTTACAGATAGAAACAGAGGAAGTATTATTTACCAATATCTCTTTCTTCTTTGAGAGTTCTGGCTTTGCTACTATGTGCATTTCTAAAAGAAAAAAACTGCAAGGAATTGGGGATGATTGTTTGCTTTGCTGCTTTTATGAGTGTTCTTTGAAAATGTACCTTTTCAGCAAATGTGTTTTGTCCTATATTTATGAGCTTGGATATGGCCAAGAAATAGAGCAAACATTTCTCATTGACTTTGCATTTGTGAAATTCTTGTCAGCGAGAAACTTGATAATGCACGAGTCTTTCTTCTAAGCAATAGTGATCTCTATATTTGACTTCGGTTATGATGGAACTTTTTTGTTTTTCCTATTTTATCTTTAAGAGTGCATAAATTCTGATGCATGGAAAATTCTTTTTCTACCTTTAGAGATACTTTACAGAATTTGAAGCGTCATAAAGATGAAGATCTTCTTAAAGGTCAAGCTGTGAAAAACCAGAAGGTATGATGTTAACTAACTCATATCTTGATGATTTATTTTTCGGTTTTAAATCGATATAAATTATTTCATTGAGTAATGATTAATTATTTCCAATTATTTGATCTTTTCTTGTGAATGATCCATTTCTTTCTTATTATGATAATTGGAAAATTTTTGTATGTGCTTTAAATGGTAGAGCCATTAGACTTGACTATATCCCTATTGAAGTGTGGAAATGTTTAGGTGAAGAGGGGTGTTGTAACTAATTAAGTTATTTAATAAGATCTTATGATCCAAGAAAATGTCTAATGAATAGAGAAGCACTTAGTTCATATTTTCAAAAATAAAAAAGATATTCAGAATTGTGTAAACTACAAAGTGATTAAGTGTACGAGTCATAAAATGAAATTATGGAAAAGAATGATTAAATGTAGGTTGAGGTTGGAGATTGGTATGTCTGAGAACGAATTTGGTTTGATGTTGGGAAGGACTACGGTAGGAGCAATTTATCTACTAAGGGGACTAATGGAAAAGTATCAAAGCAAAGATAGAAAATTACACATGATTTTCATTGATTTGAAAAATGCATACAATTGGGTTGCTTATATTAGAGCTATACAAGATATGCATGAGAGGGCAAAAACTAGTTTAAGAACATCTGGCTAGGAGACAAAAGACTTTCTTGTGAGGATTGGCTTACATTAGGGATCATTTTTGAGCTCTTACCTTTTTGACCTGGTTTTAGATGTTTTAACTGAGCATATTCAAGAGGAAATCTCCAATTGCGTGCTTTTTGCAGGTGATATAGTTTTATGGTGAAGTCAATAAATGATATTAACTACAAAGTTGAATTATGGAAGCCTTGGAGTCGTAGGGTTTTTGTTTGAGTAGGAGTAAGACGGAATATTTGCATTACAGTTTTGATAAGAGATTAGTTAGTAGTGATTTAGAAATAAAATTGAGAGATCACATTATACCACAAGTGGAAAAATTTAAATATTTGAGAGCAATTATTTAATATAATAGGGATGTTGTGCGTAGGATGTAAATTGGGTGGTTTAAATGGAAAAAAACCTGAAGGAGTTATTTGTAATTGAAAAATACCTAATTAACTTAAAGAGAAGTGTTATCGAACTACTATAAGATCATCCATATTATATGGCAGTGAATGTTAGACTTTAAATTGACAATATGAATATAAAGTTGGAGTAGCAGAGATGAGAATGTTGAGATGAATGTGCAGGTATACACAAAAAGATAATATCTAAAATAAGCATATATATATATATATATAAAGGGCGTCGCATATATATTAAGAGGAAGATGGTAGAAAATCGTTTGACGTTGTTAAGATATGTACAGAGAAGGTCATGGGAGGTATTGGTGAGGAGAGTGAAGCGGATGATCTTGAACCTTATAAAGAATGGTAGGGGAAGACTAAAGAGAAAACTTATTGACGTTGAACTTAATTAACAATATGTTTAAAAGTTTGGTTGATGATAGAGCACAATGGCATCATGAAATCTATACAAACAACCTCACATAGTGGGATAAGGCTTGTTATTGTATTGTTGTTGTGCTTTCAATTATACTTCTTTTGGTCCAAAAAATAGGACATTTTCTATCGGCCAGTTTTGGTCCAAAATGTAGGCACTGGCAAAGAGTCAATAGGATTAAATTCTTCTTTTCTATAAATGCCTTTATTAATTGTATTGTAGAGAGATTATATAAGAAGGAGATTTAAATAATTATGATAGATTGATTTTAATTGAATGGTAATCTTGGAAAGTAGTGATAACTTCTTACCATTTTAATGGTACAAACCATTTTAAACTACTTTTCTTAATCCTTATGAAGAAGTTAAAAGTATCCTATATTTTGGACTAGAGGGAGTAGTTGTTATTCATATTTGCCTCCACTGCTTAGTTAGTAATCATATTATTTTTGTTTTCCCTGAAGGCACTTTGGTACAAGATCCTTGAGCTTAGAGTCTTACTTCAGAAGCCATACTCAAGTTCAAATAGGTTACCCCAGGTACTGTCCTATTCCACTTTTGAGACTACCAAGACTTTTATTTATCATGTGAGAATTTTGTCCCAAAGAGATAAACTTTTTGCAGGAACCAGTCAGGTCTTCGTTACATGGTTCTGATGAGAGCGTTAGTGCAGCATATTCAGATCTTGTGACTTCCTCCAAGGAGACTTTAGATTCTATATTGGAACTGCAAGAGGTATAATTGTCTGAAGATATGGAAGAGAAAGTAGAACTGTTCTTTTACATTTCATGCCTATGGAAACTATGAAGTACTTAGCTATAATATTATGTCTTTAATTCTCTAAGTTTGTTATGCACTGATAGTTGTATCCTTTATGTTAGGCTCTGCTTGCCCAGAATCCATCTATTGCCCAAGCCACAGATGGTAATTTATTTCTTCTTGTCTTTTGTTTTGATCCCACCTAGTGGGATAAGGCTTATTGTTGTTGTTGTTTTCTGTTTCTTCTTCTTGTAAATTAAATTAAATGCTTGGAATTTCTTTTGGGTGTTGCATAAAACATTTCCAGTAAGAAGCAATTATTCTAGCAATTTAACTTCCCTAGTAATTGAAATTCTGTATAACAGTAATAGAGATTTTCTCAATTGCTGGTGATTCTGTGAGCAATAGATGTTAGATTCAAGATAGAATTATCTCTGCCTTGGATTTAGTACATTCCAGAAATGAAGACACCTGAGTTGAAAATGATTGATAAAATTGCAAGAAGGAGAAGTTGGGTTTTGGGTATTGAAACCTGTCAGAACCCTTGTTTTTTAGTTAGGGAAGAAGAAAACTTGCTTTGGCTTTATTTCATTCCAGAAATGTTTATTAGTAACATGAATTTGTTTTCTCTTCTAAAAGGTTCAGAAAGGTCATCAAAACATTTAAACGTTTCTAAGGATTTGGATGGCAATTTTGATGACGAGTGGTCACAGATTTCTCAGATGCAAAAGAGGTAATTTTTTTCCCCTCATTTTCTTGGTGCGCTCTTATTTTGTTAGACATTCATTTCCCCACAGTACTCCTTCATCGAGGCTCCTAAGTTTTGTGCTTGAATCCAATCGATAGCAGTAATATTTGAAACCTACCTTGTTATGTATTTGGTTGCTTTTTCTTTATTTTCTATCTTGCTGAGGTTTTTTGGCCCCACACAAAGCTGACCCAACTTGTGAGCAACCCTAAATTACGTGTCTTCACCAAACTGTTTAAACCTTTTGGGTTGAAGTGGTTTTTGATACAATATTGGTCTTTATGATGAAGCGATCTATTGGTGAGTCCTTACTGACTTCAAAATGGATTAATATCGTGATCTTGTGCCTTTTCCTGTTTCCACACTTATAGCCCAAGGGCTTTTGTGTTAGGGTATTTGTTAGAAATATTAATAAAGCCAATAATTGGTCGTCACCAAACCCTTTTGACAATTTAAATTTTTTATATTTATTCACGTGTGAATAAAATTGATCATCTCGACACTATGACCTAATTGATGCTGTTCATGATTGTATTTTGTAGAGTAGCACCTTTCAGAGACAGGTCAATCAACAAATGGCAGAGGATGACACAAGTGACAACTGGTGCTGCTGCCTTTAAAGGCAAATTACAGGCTTTTAATCAGGTCTGGCTTTGTAACTTCGCTGAGGATTCTGCAGTGTGATATGCAGGCTGTTTTACTCTTAGTATGTTGCCCCATCACAGGATATAAGTGACCAAGTTGCTACTTATATGAGGGATCCCAGCAGAATGATCAAGCAAATGCGGCTGAGAAGATCTGCTGTTAGTATATTTGGAAATGTAAGTCACTGTTGTCAATTTTTATTTTAAAAACATGATGCGGTTTTAGAGTTTTCTCATGTAGCCATAAAGAGAGACTTATACTTGCTTTTTTGGTTCTTGTCTTTAATTTTTGAGTGCCTCTCAGTTTATGTGTAGTGGCTTCCAGAGTATGTTAACATAACTGCTAATCTTTTCTCTCCTTTCTGCATGTGCCATCACTGGCATTGTCTTCAGATTGTGGAGGCCAATGATAACTCTAAGGAAGAGGTTAGTCAAATTCATTGCTAATTGAGTTAAACCAGAACCTTTTCGATTTTCTCCATGTCTGTGCAGACAAAATTGAGTCATTTTTGTATGTACTAAGTAATATTTTTAAAGGAAGTCATTCAAGTGTTTTCAACCATAGGTTAAGTCTTCATATTCATTGGTTGGCATCTTTAGTATTGATTATTATTTTAATCTCCTTTTTACCTGTATGGTGGTGCTTAGCAACATAGATCAATGCTTCCATTTACTCCTTGCCGCCTTCTTTGAACTCATATTTTACATGACTGTTACGAAGTTTAATTTTTCCAGGAAACTCATACTGATGGTGATCCCGAACTTCTGGATGACTCTGAATTTTATCAGCAATTACTAAAAGAGTTTTTTGAGACAGTTGATCCTACATCATCTGGTAAACAATAATGGTTTTCTTTTTGGCTGAATAAACATTCTTTATGTATTGTATTTATATTTTTACTTCTGATGTCATTGGAGTATTAGACTAATCAGGACATTCATGTTTTATTTATAATATATTTTGGCAATTAGGAGTGACTGATGTTAGGTTTATAGTTTGAATGTTTTCCTAGCTAAAGGCTGGTATTTCTTCTTCGTGGTGACTGAATAGTTATATATCACATTTTGTTGAGCCTAGCATTAGCATGAGTTGTTTTCCCTAAAAATCATAGATTTAACCTTATGTTGTGCAAGTGGAAGCCAGTTTCTAATTTTCTGCTGTTGTGAATTATTTAGAGAAAGCAGTTTATGCTCTGAAGAAGACACAACAAAAGAAAAGAAAAATTGTCGATCGTCGGGCCTCAAAAAGTCGCAAGATAAGGTTAGCTGAAGATGGCATTTCCTTGTTTGGTACAATTGTCGATCGTGTGTGTGTGTGTGTGTGTAGATCTCTTCTCCAGAACTGAGAAAGAGAGGCTAATTTGCTGTTGCTATTCTGCAATGTGGTGTTGAAGGTATAATGTTCATGAAAATATTGTGAACTTTATGGCCCCCGAGTCCATGAATCTTCCAACTATGGTTCCTAAACTTTTTGGAGATTTGTTCGGATTAAAGTCACGAAGATCATCTGCTGGTGCAGCATAATCTTGCTTGGGGAACAGATACATGATATCAAGTTTTGTGCAGTAACTGGTCACAACCTAGTTTTACTCATTCGGCCAACAACATATTGTTTATTGAGGAATTTTGTTTCTCTCCTCGGAAGGCAACAATTTAGTGTAGCAACAGGAGGTTTCAGTTTCAATTCTTCTGTGTTTTTATGTTCTAATCGTTGGCAGCATGTGTCCGTAAGCAATCTATGTCCTGCTAAACCATAATTAGCCGTTACATTCATACTGAATTTTAATTCCACATAGTTAGATGATGATGTAACTTGTTAAAGATGCATACATGATGGTGGTTTCACATGTCAAATCTCCCACTTTTTTTCCCTCTTCACTTAGATGGTTCAAGGCTTGGAAAAAGACATAATCTCTTATAACATGTACTTGATAATTATGAATGACAATCTGGCATTCCTTTGTCCTTGTAGAAATTTATTTGCAAGTGGGTAGGCTTGGTGAGAATAAGAATCTTCTTTTGACCCATTGATTATGGGCCCATTTGAATTTCAGTTGTGTATAATTGATTATAAAATAATTAATATGATTGATTTTGATTATAATTGATTATGTTATAACGCAATTTGTTTAGATATTATTTTTTTGAAATTGATTTCAATTGTGTAAATGATCGTAAAAGATATTGCTTTTCAAAATTAAATTAATAAAGTTATATTTAATATTATTAAAGTTATTAAATTTTATTTAAGAAATAAAATATATTATTTAATGGTAAATTAAATTTATAAGTAATCTCTCAGAGTTTATTTTAAAACATGTTTTTAACTCAATAATTAATAATTAATTATAAAAAAATTGACTGTTTGGATAATTTTTACTAAAATTAATTATTTGGCCTGTAAAATTGGTTTTACACTTGATCCAAACAGGTTGCAGGTAGCATGGCTGAGTAAACTGTGGAGCAGTATACCACCAAGCGTTTGGTTCCATCGATCAGGGAGTTGTATCAATTTAACTAGAAGTATTGAGTTCGATATTTAGGATTGTAGTCACATTAAATAACGCAATGGAAGAGCTTGCTGCTTAAAAGGGTTCTACGAGTGCTTGATCCAAATTAATGTGAGCCTCATTAAGTCCTTTAGCTCAAGTTGGGCAGGCCAGGCCCATGATATTTGGCGCGATACACAGAAAATAGTGAAGTAGAATCGAGTTCCAATGCACTACGTAACTATGCTGCTATCTTTCAAAATCTGAAAACCCTTATCACAAGTTTGGTTGGAGGAATTTTAAGGCAAGAGGGGAATTTTATCTACTCTTTTTATCCTTTTTTTTTCCTCTTTATTTATATCATGGGAATAATAGCCAAATAAAACATTAAAAACTGATGACAACCATATAAACAAATTCCAAATCACAGATAAATTATAAAGAGTAATGTAATAATAACAAAACAGAGGCTCCTAGAAAAATCAGATAAAACAACAGAAAACGATATTTCATTACGTCGAGACACCCACCACATACTGGTGAAACCGCCACTAGAACCGATAACACATTATTGCTTCCTTTGAATTAAAAAAAAAAATTATTGCCACATATATTACGTTGTATTTTAAACCTCAAATTTTTCGGATGGCAAAAAAGGAAAAAAAAAACTCATTTTTTTCTGGGATATATAAATAGTTAATTTATGTACTCTCCTGACTCACAAAACATAAGAGGCATAGTGACAGAAGCGTTCATTTACTACTCATCCATGGCGGTCCAGGTGAGTTCTTCTTCATCTCTCTCTTTCACTGAACTAATTTTCATTTTTTGTGAACCAATCATATAATAAGAAGGAGGAGCGATAAGATTGTGGTTCTCTTGTTGGGCCGCCAGAGATACGATAATGGCTCTAATTTTAAAAGTCCATTAAATTGTGGCAGGCTTGGTTCAAGGACGATTTCGATGAAGATCCAAGGCTTCCTCACTATCGAAACCCCGATGAATTTGTGTCTATGGACCAATTGGCAGGTCCCTATTTCTTTGTTTTTCTTTTTGGCCTGTCTAGAGAGAGAGAGAGAGAGAGAGAGAGAGAGAGAGAGAGAGTATAGTTCTTAATTTAGGAGTGATTGTTGCTGAAACTGGTGAATCTACAGAATTGGGAGTGCTGCACTGGAAGCTGAATCCAAACGACTACGAGAACGATGAAGAGTTGCGGAAGATTCGAGAGACGAGGGGATACAATTACATGGTAATATATCTTTATTATTGTATTATTTGATTAATTTCCTCAAATCGGCAAATTGACCAGCGTACTGCAAAAAAACAAATTTATTTATAAAAATACTATAAATTCAAAAATATTTATTAAAATGCTATAAATTAAAAATTGGTTTCAATGACACAAAGTTTAAATTTCACCTTTTTAGTGTGAGAAGAATAGAAGTTGGATTGGGTGACATTAAGTTTCGTACATTTAGTATAAAAAAAATTGTGTTAGGTGCAATAAGATTGATTATCATGGTCTCAATATTCCTAAAGTCAAACCTCTTTTCTTCCTCCCTCTCTCTCCTCAATAAAATTAACTCCTCGTGCCTTCTTGCAAGTTAAAACAACTCTCTTTATCTCATGCATATAGTATATAGTAATATATAGATATTATATATAGTATGTAAAAAAAATTATATATTTACATTTTTTTAATTTTTAAATAATTTAAAACTAAAAATGATAAATTATAAAATGGATATTTATATTTTATCATGAAATTTAAATAGAATGTTTTAATTTTTTTCAGGAATTGTACAAGGTTTTTCAAAAATCAGTGCTGTCACTTTTTTTTTAAAAAAAATATATGATAAAATAATGAGATTCTTTTAAGAAAATAAAAATATTTATGTAATTAACATTATATATCTAATATTCATAATGATAGTTTGCTATGAGATAAATAATAGGAAGAAGGAAAAATAAATATCTCTAAAATAGAAAAATAATAATTTAGTCCTTTGAAATATGATAATGTCTTTTAAGTCTTAAGGGACCTAACTGCCACTAAAGTTTCTGATAAAATAATAAAAATATTACTTAATTTTAAAAAGTGAAAAATAATAGTGAGAGAAAGTTGCAAATTCGTAAATCATTTTATTCATTTATTGAATTAGACTTGTAAATTTTAAAACTAAAATTGTGAATAAAAAAACTTTATACATTTTGCTAATTGAAAGAAAAAAATAGTAAGAAAAAGTTGTGAATGGCTAGCTTAGTAAATGACAAAGTAAAACTTTTATCCAATAACAAAGTTTAATATATTTAAGTCTTTTCATTTTCTTAAAAACATCTCATTATTTTATCATATATTTAAAAAAAATGATAACATTGATTTCTGAAAAACCTTGTATAATTTTAGGAAAAAAATTTAAAACTTTCTATTTAAATTTTATGATAAAATATAAATATCCATTTTATATTTTATCAGTTTCAGTTTTAAATTTAAATACATATATATAATTCATTTCAATATATTTACAATTATATTAAAAAGATAAATCATTTAAAAATTATAAAATGTAAGTATATAATTTTTTTTTACATACTACATATAATAGTTATATATTACTACATATTATATGCATGAGATAAAGGGAGTTGCTTGAGCTTGCAAGAGGGCACGAGGAATTAGTTTTATTGAGAAGAGAGGGAGGTAGAAAAGAGGTTTGGCCTGAGGGATAATAAGATAATAGTAATCAATCTTGTCATATTCGGCACATTGTTTTTTTATATTAATTGTATGAAACTCGGTGTCATCCAACCCAACTTCTATTATTCTCACACTGAAAAAGTTAAATATGAATTTGGTGTCATTGGAATTGATTTTCAATATATAGCATTTTAGTAAATATTTTTGAATTTGTAGTATTTTGATAAATAAATTTGTTTTTTTGCAGTACGCTGGTCAATTTGCCCCTCAAATCTTATTTTGTATTGAACAGAGTTAAGAACTTACTTGAACATGGTGCAGGATCTGCTGGATTTATGCCCAGAAAAAGTGGAAAATTACAAGGAGAAGTTGAAGATCTTCTATACGGAGCACATTCATCAGGACGAAGAGATTCGATATTGCTTGGAAGGGAGTGGATATTTTGATGTGAGAGGCAAACAAGACCGTTGGATCCGCATTTTGGTCAAGCCAGGTGATCTTATCATCTTGCCTGCTGGAATCTACCATCGCTTCACTCTTGACACTAGCAACTATGTGAAGGTATGAATTTTCTTCCAATACTTATTAAATTAAAGAAATTGAATTAACGATAATTAAGTGATAAAAATTAAAATTATTAATATGAAAAATATGTTGAAATTTATAGATTGAGGTAATTATAAATTTAGTTATTTTAATTGTAGGTAAAGTAAAACATTCAAATTTAACCCTTAAATTGTAGTTGAGGTTTTTTGTTTGTATTATTTAAATCAGTATTTATAACTCATTTTTTGAAAAATTTACAGGATACCTAATTATCATCAATTCAAGTTTTAGAACCCAAGTGGCATTCTTCCTTGCTATTTTTTTTTTGAAAAAAATATAATCATTGGTGCTTATAGTTTCATCAAGTTTTGTTTTTATTTCTTTTAATTTTTTAAGTATTTTTAGTTTCTATAATTTTAAAAATATTGGATAATTTTTATTTTTTAGGTCCTTATAATTTCTGTTTTTCAGTATTTTAGTCTCTATAAGGATTGAAAATACTAAAAATAAAAAACTACAAGGACTAAAACAAAACTTGATTAAACTATAAGGATTAAGGATTATATTTTTCTTTTTTTTATATACAAAATATAACAAATTGCTTAATTTTTTGCTAGTCATCTAATGAGTTTTTGTTTTCTTATAAACGTGCAACTTGTAAAAATCTATCTTCTACCCTGCACCTTTGGGATGATTTGCACAATACATCTCTTCCTTTTTAATTTGGTATGGATTTTTGGTATTTTTATACTCTGGTTGGATGTAAAATTTATAACACAAATACGCAACATGTTACTCCCCGGTCCTATACATTAGAAATCTTTTAGAGGGAAAAAAAAAAAAGGTGTTCCTTAATATAAGTCATTTCTGACTTTTCGATGCAGCATTTAGCAAGTTATTTTGTAAATGCCCTCCTAAGTCCTAACCACGTACTACCAATTTTGTGAAACTATTAAAGGACAGTGTTTGTTAGTAGCAAAAACCAAAAATGGGAAGTGATGTAAATTTTAGAAAACTCCATTGCTTTAACTAATTTATCTTTGGTTTTAGTCATTCGCCTTGTGTTTGTTTTGCGCGCAGTTAATGAGGCTGTTTAGGGGAGATCCAGTATGGACATCATACAATCGGCCCCAGGAAGATCACCCTGCCAGAAAGGAATATCTTCAAAGCTTTCTGAAAACTGGTGTGCCACTTGAAGCCCATTAGGACTCTTTCATTTCATCTCTCTCTCTCTCTCTCTCTCTCTCTCTATATATATATATATATATATGTGTGTGTTTGTTTTGTGTGTGTGTGTGTGTGGTGGGCGTCCTAGAGATAATCCATGTATGAACCTTATTAAGCGCTGTTGTTATTGAGATGAAACTCTGTTTGAACAAATTTAAGAGCTCTCTCTTTGGACCTATGAACATTGCTGTCTTGAGATTGTGTTTGTGTAAACTAATCTGAATTGAGATGCGATCTGTTTTGTTTTCATTAAAAATTTGTGGTCCTACCAATAGGATAGTAGGAGAGGGCAAGGGGCTAATGCTTGTATTTAGCATCTGACCTTACATGGCTAAGATTGTGTTCAATAAGAATACTTGTGTACAATAAAACAATTCCTGATCCAAAAATTGTTGGAGTAACAATTACTGATGTCAAAGATTTACATCTGAGTCAAAATAATGTCTCAGCAGAATAAGTTGAATCAAGTGAATTAATTTTTAAGTAACAATTTTAGTTTGAGTTTGTTATTTTTTATTTTTTATAGATGATGAAGCTAGCAATGCTCAAGTTTGAATTAGTAATTTCAGATAATATGGTTTTTACTAAAAAATTGAAAATTAAACTGTTGGTCTTTTGCTTTCATTAAGTTTTGAAATTTGAGGTATTTTTTTTTAAATAACTCCTTAAAATTCATTTTTTTTAATCATTCTTTCCAGCAACAGACTCCAACTCGTTCATTTGCAAAATATGATTTACAGCAGATGTGGCTTAGCCAGGAATGGATTGGAAAATGAATTTATGCTTCTACTTGTCCACAATTTTTTTACCATCAACGTAATCATCATTTTCAACCCATGGTTTCAAATTCAACTATGCTAATACACTAATAAATATTTTCTCTTAATCATGATATAAGACATTAGTAACTTCTTCACGGTTTAAAAAGAAAATGAGGTGAAACTTTAGTCTCTAAAATTTTTTTATATTTTTTCAATCATACCCTTATTAATTATCTTATATAATAACACTTGAAATCTTAATGTATCATTTTCTCTAACAAAGTAATAAATGAAGTTGGGATATAGCTGAAAAAATAATTAAAAAAACTACTTAATATATTATATTTTGAATCAAGTAAAACTTTTAGGAAATGTTATATTTTATAATCTGAATGAAGTGTTTATATTTTAAATACAGCTCAATCCCATATTATATATGCCAGAGATTATAGAGACCAAAGCCAGGGGATTCTTTTTAAAAGAATTGATGCTTAACCTTGAATTAAAAAAAAAAATATGTTCATTAATTTCATTCTATCATGATTCCTACAATACGACTTATCCAATAAGTTTAACAGAAGAGGAAGGTTGTATATTTTGACCAATACTCATCAAATATGAGAGAGAGAAAGAGAGAGAGTGAGTTATACTTTTGTTTTGGCATCAAAATAGAGCGTCATGCCCCAAAGTGCTGTTTTTTCTTTTGATATTATCTCTCACCTGCAAATAGCATCATTATGTAAGAAGAGAGAGACATACACAGGGTAAAACTTAAGTTTTTAATCTTATATATTTAATATATTTTTGTTTAATCACATCAATACAAGTGAATTTTAATATATTAATAATATCAATAACAATAATTTGTTAAAATAAATAATCTTTATAAAATCACATGTTTTATTTAACTAAAAATAAGTATCTTAAATATATAAGGTTAAATATATAAATTTCTCCCTTCCCCACACACACACAAGTACACACATGCATTCCTTTTGATTTTATTTTAATTTTTAATATATTAAAAATTTGGGCCAAGCCCAATCATGTTCGAACTTGGCTTGAATGCTTAATTAAAAAATATTTTTTAAAATATATAAAATATAACAAAATATTAATTAATTATTTAAATTTTATGTTATTTTATATTAAAATACCATATTTGAGTGTATTATTATAATTTTTTAAAAAAATTAAAATATTTATATTTTTATTATTTTTAATCAATAAAATATTTTAAAATATATTTTGATTTTGATTTTTATATTTTAAGATGTACTTATTTTTTAAAAAACATTTTGACTCCTATACAGCGTCTAAGTATTTAAAAAATATTTTATATTTTTATAAAATAAGATAATTAATTTTAAAGTAAAAAATTAAATTAAAAATAATTCTAAAAATAAAATTCAAGCATGTACAAATTCTCAACTCTATTACAAGATGAATACAATAAATAAAATAATATATTTAAATAATTTTTTGATTATCATCTACACTAGACTTAGTTAAAAATTAAAAATAAATTAGAGTAAATATTCTTTTTATGTAAGAGTTAAACAATATAAAAAGTAAAAAAAATTTCAAAAAAACACATCATTTTACTCATAATTTAATAATTTTATTTTATATACTATAATAATGACTATTTTTCTCATATTTTTAAAAATAAAAAGTACAATTTACTCAAAGGTTATTAAAAATTTAAACTAATCAAGGCAATAATTTTAACTTAATAGTCTAATTGTGATTGAATTGAAGTGAATTTGATCATAATTAAAATAATATAATTTAATTAAAATATACAAAATATTTATATATGAATATGATAAGAACAAACCACTAAGATATTAATTGACAAGCAAAGAAAAAACTCATGAATAAATTACATATACTACAATATAATAGAAATAGAGTTACTTAAGTATAAAGTTAATAAATTATATTATATTTTATTATTTTAAAGTTAAAATAATATTTTATACTTAACAGAGTTACTTAAAAATTAAAATTGGTTTAAAAAATAGAGAAAAACATTTTTAAAAAATTTTGGGTATTTGAGCCAGGACGAATAAGCCTGAAGCCTGAAGGTATTATAGTCGGGCTTGACTATATGAATTTTTTATATGAGGTAAAATATTTTAAGCCTAGCTCGAATTAAATCCAATTTAAATAAGCCTGGCTATCCTGAATTACTAGGTCTAATATTATAATCTTTCAATCTCACTTTCAAATTACTACTAACTAACTTCTTATCAAAATTATAATGAAATTATTCAGTTATATTCTTACTCATGAGGAAACTCTTTGACTCTAAGGTCCTCTTCCATAATTCAAATTTATAGTAATCTATTCTCTTTTTTTTTATAATAAGAACTATATAATCTACAAAAGCATGCATTTGAATTTTTTTTAAATATGTTCAATCAAAATATCTAAAATCAAGTCAAACAAATATATACTCAAAGATTATCACTCATGTAGTCTAATCCTTTTAAGAAATTCCTTTGTTTCACTGCTAGACGTTCTTATATTAGTTATTGTACTTTCATAATATTTTGTATAGCTCTAATATAGGAAATCCTAACTCATTTCTTTTCTAAGACTTTTTGAAGTAATTCTCTCGATTCACATTCATAAACTTTTTTTAAATCAACGAAAATCATGTATAAATCTTTACTTTAGTTTCAATACTTTTTCATTAATTCTCTTAATAGATAAATTATTTCTATATTAATTCTTAGAAATACTAATCTCCAATCCCATCCTATGCTCAATCACCCTTTAATCTTTTTCTAACATGTTTTATCAAAATCAATAAAAATTTTAAAACTTACTAGTTCTATCTAAAAATTTAATAAGTTTTCAATTTTATCTCAATTAAATATATAAATGTTAATATTCCCTCCACCTCAAATTATAATATACTTTTAAGCAAAATTATACATACCAATAAAGTTTATTAAATACACTTTTTAATTTTATTTTTTTAAAATAAAAATAAATTTTCAAAAAAATATTTCATTTAATACTCAATTTATAAAAGAATATTAAAGAGAGAGAATATACCATAAAGGGTAATATTAAAAAAATATCATTAAAAAAAATTTATTGTTATCGAGATGTCTTACAATTTGGGACAAAAGTAATAAAATATTTTATTTCATCAACATTTAATGAGAAATAAAAAGAAAAACTTTTGATAAAAACTTCATGACATGGACTTATGATTAAGATAAAAAAAATTCTGTCCGCTGTATAAACAATACTAGATCATATGTATGTATGTATGTATGTATATAAAGTGGGTGGCCCTCATGTACCATAGATCTAATGTTTTGAAACCTGACCAAATGTTGAATCGGAAAGAGCAAAGAGTTGTGGTTTTTATGATTCAACCGGTTAGATCGGCAAAAATAATATTTATATACATAAATATATAAATAAAATACTAATTTGTTGATGGTGTTTGGAATCTCGATGCCAAAGGTTGGATACTTGAACTACTAGAGCTGGAGGCAGAGGCATGTTAGCATAAGCTTGCGATCATGAAGGAAAACACTAGAGTTGAAGGCACGCTGTTATATCACGACTCATGAGTTTTTAATCTCAATATCAAAGGTTGGATCACTAGAATTAGATGCAAAAATTAAAGGAGAAGTAAAAGATTGAACATAGGTCATGAAGGAGAGATCAAATATTAGAGAAGAGAAGATAAAAAAAATTAGAGATTATAAAAGAGAAAACATGAATCTAAGTAACATAGCCTAATTTTTTTCTTTTTTTAATTTTTTGACCCTGAATTGGGTTGACCTACTTTAAGTTTTGGATTAAATTCAATTCTATAAAAATTGCCTAGTTCAATCTAGTCTAAAAATTAATTTAATTCAATTGATTGAACCAAATTACTTAACAAGTGATAGTCGAACCGATAGGATCCGATCCAGTTAGTTCTCACAACATTGCATGGATCCAAACACCCCATAATTCCATCTCCCCACATTTCTGTGTCTTTGACTCTTCAATCTTTTGTACTTGACCAACGACTCTTTGGTCTAAAGCCACTTTGTTGTGACGTGGAAAAGGTAGATGTAGTGTAAATCTTATTTTGCACGGACGGAGAAAGGATTTTTTTTTTTTTAAAAGAGATAAGTCTCCCTTTTTACTTTCCCTCCCCCCGAAAAGTGGTTTGAAAGAAATAAATAAAGAAAAGCAAGATAGAGAACAAAAGTACAAAACAATAAAGACGTGTCATTTGTCTTTTTTTTTAGCATTATTTGTAAAGTATTTTTTGACATTTATATTTTAAAGTATATATAGAAATGTTTATTTAAACTTTTTTTTTTTTAAATTCCGAAGCTAGCCTGTGAGATCCATGCATTGTATAAATCCCACACAGCAAATTGTATTAATTACTGTTCATGAACAGTACAACTTCCACCCAAAAAAGGGAACTGTACAACTTCCGATCTA